TAGTTAGTTTGCCTTAGTTAATATTATTAAGGTATATTTTCTTATAACTATAGGTTTTATAGAATTCTAGAACCTTATGCTATCTCTAGTAATGCTATTATCTATAGTTAGATTAAATGCGTCTCTTACTATCTCTAGTCTAATAGTTTATATCTAGTTCTCTTATTATTTAGAAGCTTCTCTCTTCTAGAGCTAGCTTATATAACTTATTATTAACTCTAATAGCTTTCTAGATAAGATCTTTAAGATTATTAATTATAGTTCTGCTATGCATAAGTTTAGCGCATATAGAGTATTTAAGATCTTATTTATATATTCTTATAAGAGTAATATTACTTTATTAGATTTGCATAGCATACTATTAGAAAAGCGTAGTATAGTTAGCAGCTAACTTAGTTTATTTAAGATATTAGATTCTTTATTTTATAATTAAGAATTTCTTAATTAGAGAGAATATCTGCTTAAGATAGATCTTAAACGCGTTCTAGCTTTCTATAAGTATAGTATTACTAGTATTATTAATATTATTATCTATATATATCTTAAAGATAGATAGCATCTATTTTTTAGTATCTCTCTTTATATAAGTAGAGACTAAGATAACTTTATTATTATTATTAATCTTATCTTCTTTAATATAGAATAATTAATTAAACTAGAGAATCTAGTTCGTAAGCTTATTATAGTCTCTATAGAAGTTATTAAGCTTCTAAGCCTTAAGGATAGAATATCTATAGATCTAAGAGAACTTAAGTATATCTATAGCTATATTACTTATCTTAAAGGTCTTTAAAGTGTTAAAACCTATTAAGTAGCTAATAATTAGATAGCTAGTATTAAAGAGCTTAAGTTAGTTTTTGCAGATAGAGTAAAGTAGTACTAGATATAGAGATAGAGGCGTACTAAGATAGTAAGAATAAGCTTCTATAAAGAGTATAATATATTAAGTAACTTAAAGTATAAAGTTAAAGATACTAAACTATAAAGGTTTATTATCTAATCTATATAGTAATAGTGCACTTAGTTAATCTATAGTAATCTATTATACTAAGACTAAGATTACTATAGATTATTTATTCTAGATATAAAACGCAAACTAGGAGTATTATTAAAAAATAAGCTAGACTAAAAGAGGATAGTAATTGCTCTCTACTATTAGCATAAAAAAGTATTAAAAAAGTATAAAATACATAATCTAGTATTAGTTAATAGTTCTAAGTAAGGCTAGTATAGGTACTACTAACTAATACTTAAACTTCTTAAAAATTACCTTAGGCATAATAATAACTACTCTGCTCTAAGCTAGGCTTAAGAAGCATAATTTTTATAGTATGCTTAACTATAGAAAAGCAGTGCACGCAGTTATGCGCAGATTAAAGATAGATTTTGCATTAGTATCTAAGTGCTATAGTCTTCTATCTCTTTATATCTTTACATTGCTATTACTATTGCTATTATTATAACTATTATTAAACATTCTATAATCTAATAAATATTAAGGTATATCCTCTTCTTAGCGACCTACTACTCTTTCTAATACTTAATCTTACTAGATTGCGTTATATTGCCTTTAATACTATTAAAGCTTAATAGCTAATACGTTGTTAAGATTGCGCATTTAAGCTTATCTAGATATGTTAGCTTACTAGCTATATTTAAAGGCAGCTAGTAGATAGATAGCTATGCTGCTACGTTATTAATATTATAAAATTAGTTCTATAAGTTAGTTATTAGCTCTCTTGCTACTAACTACCTTCTTGCATAATATAACGTTAGTTATATTATACTATAAGGTAGCAGTAGCGTTGTATACCTCTATATTATAGACGCAATTAAGATATATTAGCTAAGATACGCGCTGCTAAGTTACTCTATCTCTAGAAATAATTCTTATATAGATAAGAGAGTAATAAGCAAGCAGGCAGCTATGCTTATAGACTAAGTAGTAGAGTATTACGCAGTAACAGATTCTTATAGCTATAAGAAGGATTTTCTTAAGAAGCTTTAGAAGCTAGCGAGCGTTAAATAGATAGTAATAATTCTAAGAGCAACGTATTTAATGTAGCTATTTACACGAGTATCTGCTGCTATAGGTACTAAGCAAGGTAGCTTATTAGCAGCAAGCCTATCTATTAGATTATAGAGTTCTAGAGTATTAGTGTTTAATGTTTAATACTAGGACTTATATATAGAAAAGTTGCTTAATAAGAGTAGAGAGGGCCGTTGCTGTATTACATTAGTAAGATTAACTAGAGTACAAAATATAGTTACAAAATATAGTTTATAAAATTAGTAGCTAAAGCTAACTATAGATTATAGATTACTAATCTATTTGCTAAGAGACTAATCTATATAGATTAGTTATATAATGTAGCTTATTCTAGCATTACTTTTATCTATAGTTATATATCTATAAGTATACTAAAGGTAGTAATTATATTGCTAATTTAGAGTTCTAGGTTCTAGAATATAGTATTCTATAATAACCTATAATAGATAGCTTCTCTAGCCTGCAGTAGTAGTTAGATCTTCTGCTCTTATTATACTATTACTACTATAGTATAGGCGCTTAGCTATTTTATATAAACTCTATTATTAGATAGAGCTTAGATAATAGATATTGCTTCCTATAGTCTCTTCTTTACTTAATTAATAGAAAAGATGCGTATAAAAAGATAACTCTATATAAACGTAATAGTAAGAGTACTGCATTATAATATAATAGATCTATTTTAAAGCATAAGAGTAAGATTAGATTTACTATTCTAGGAAGCGCTAAGAAGTAGAACCTCTAACGTTAAGCCTATTTAGGCATAATTTAGGCTCTTCTCGTCGTGTTCTCTCAGCTAGAGTTAGATTTGCTATTCTAGGAAGCGCTAAGAAGTAGAACTCTTAACGTTAAGCCTATTTAGGCACGATTTAGGCCCTTCTTGTCGTGTCCTCTCGGCTAGGGTTGACATTCTCCAGCAAGCACGTAGCT